ACTCCCAACCTCAGGTGATCCACCCACCTTGGCCTCCAAAGTGCTTGGATTACAAGCGTGAGCCACCACGCCCGGCCTAATATCTTTTAAATTGTGAGATATGTTTTGGAATTGGTTGCCTGTAATCATAACACTTTGGGAGGCTGAGGCGGGCAGATTACCTGAGGTTGGGAGTTCGAGACCAGCCTGACCAACATGGAGAAATCCCATCTGTACCGAAAATACAAACATTAGCCGGGCGTGGTGGTGCATGCCTGTAATCCCAGCTACTCCTGACGCAGGAGAATCACTTGAACTGGGGGGGCGAAGGTTGCAGTGAGCCAAGATCACGCCATTGCACTCCAGCATGAGCAATAAGAGCAAAGCTGCGTCTCAAAAAAAAAAAAAAAAAATCAATCACCAGACACAGAATTAATCTTCTCAACAGAATCCTGAGCTGAGCTATGGGGAAGGAAAGTAGGATGATAATGATTCTGGGCACCTCTCAGCTTTTTCCTGGGTACCAAGGTTGACCTTGCCAGAAGTAACGGAAGCTCCACAGCAGCCCTGGAAGGTAGGTGGGTCAGCCACTGTTAAGGGGAAGAAATCTGAGACTCAGAAAAGGGAAGCACTATGGGAGACTGAAGCAGGAAGATTGCTTAAGGCCAAGAAGTCAAGGCCAGCCTGGTCAACAAAGCGAGAACCTGCCTCTACAAAATTAGCCAGATGCGGTGGCATGTACCTGTAGTCCCAGCTACTTGAGAGGCTGAAGTAGGAGGATCACTTGAGTCTGGGAGGTCGAGGCTGCAGTGAGCTATGATCGTGTCACTGCACTGCAGCCTGCGTGACAGAGTGAGACCCTGTCTAAAGAAAAAAAGAAGAAGGAAAAAAGAAAAGGGAAGGGACTTGGCTGAAGTTACACAGAAAGGCTGGGATAGAGCAGAGATTACAGCCCATTGCCCTAGTCCAAGCCAAACTCTTATCTGTGCCCTACTGTCTCCCACCTCTGGCACCAGCCACCTCCTAAGCCTTATCTACACTGCCCTCCACACTCCAGCTAGCTGGTCTTTTTGCCTTCCTCCAACCATGCCTTGCACTTTCTGACTTCTGGGCCTTTGCTCCTGCCTCTTCAGCCACTAGGAATGCCATTTCTCCCAACTCTGACTGTGAAACTCTTCCCCTTAGTATAGCTACCCATTGGAACAAAATGAGGCCTTTAAGAATGATGTGGTGGCCGGGCACGGTGGCTCAAGCCTGTAATCCCAGCACTTTGGGAGGCCGAGGCGGGTGGATCACGAGGTCAAGAGATCGAGACCATCCTGGTCAACACGGTGAAACCCCGTCTCTACTAAAAATACAAAACATTAGCTGGGCATGGTGGCACGTGCCTGTAATCCCAGCTACTCAGGAGGCTGAGGCAGGAGAATTGCCTGAACCCAGGAGGCGGAGGTTGTGGTGAGCCGAGATCGCGCCATTGCACTCCAGCCTGGGTAACAAGAGCGAAACTCCGTCTCAAAAAAAAAAAAAAAAAAGAATGATGTGGTACTGGCCAGACACAGTGGCTATAATCTCAGCATTTTGGGAGGCCAAGGCAGGAGGACTGCTTGAGCCCTGCAGTTGGAGGCTACCCAGACAAAGTGAGACATCTGTTTTTGAAAAACATTTTTGTTTTTCAAAAGCGAGACAAACATTTTTGAAAATTCGTCAGGTGTGGTAGTGGATGCCTGTAATCCTACTTAGGAGACTGAGACAGGAGGAAAACTTAAGCTCTACTTGGGAGGCTGAGACAGGAGGATAACTTGAACTCAGAAGTTTGAGGCTACAGTGAGCCATGATCATATCATTGCACTGTAGCCTGGGTGATGGAAATACCCTGTCTCAAAAAATTGATGTAGAAGCGATTAATAGAACATTGTCTAAAATATATGACGTTGAAAAACACTGTAAAACAAAGTCATACATAATCATAATGATAACTTTTTTTTTTTTTGAGACAGAGTCTTGCTCTGTTGTCCAGGCAGGAGTGCAATGGCTCAATATCAGCTCACTGTAATCTCTGCCTCCTGGGTTCAGGCAATTCTCCTGCCTCAGCCTCCTGAGTAGCTGGGATTACAGGCACGTGCCACCATGCCCAGCTAATGTTTTGTATTTTTTAGTAGAGACGGGGTTTCACCATGTTGACCAGGATGGTCTCGATCTCTTGACCTCATGATCCACCCGCCTCGGCTTCCCAAAGTGCTGGGATTACAGGCTTGAGCCACCGTGCCCGGCCCTCCTTCCTGGGCCTTTAATGAAGCAACCTGTCTGCTTCTCTTGCAAGGCTGTGAATGCTCCCAGGACAGGGCAGGACCTGTTTGCTGAGTTAACCTGGAAGAAATAAAATGCAAAGGTGGTGGAGTTGTAGCATTCCATGCAGGGCATGGGGAGTGGGGATAAGTGGTCTCAGCATTCTTCTTGTCAACCCCAGAGCACTCAAGGGCTGCCTGCCAGGCCCCATGACTTCAGCTGGGGTCATACCAGATGTGGGCTTACACTGGTTCTGCCCTGTGGCTCACCTCATCCTGATCATCCAAGGGCCTCTAGCCCCAGGAACCTCAAGGCTTGCCCACATGCCAAATACTGAAACCCAGAGGCACACAGAGGAGACAAGGAAATTAGGCTTCAAGATTTCTGGGGTGGGGCCAGGCATGGTGGCTTGTGACTGTAATCACAGCACTTTGGGAGGCCAAGGCTGGAGGATCAGTTAAGCCCAGGTGTTTGAGATCAGCCTTGGCAACCTAGCAAGACCCTGCCTCTACAAAAACAAACAAACAAACAAAAATTGACTGGGCATGGTAGTGTGACCTGTAGTTCCAGCTACTTGGGAGGCTGAGGTTGGAGGGTCACTTAATCCAGAAGGTTGAGGCTGCAGTGAGCTGTGGTCATGTCACTGCACTCTAGCCTGGGGGACAGAGCTAGATCCTGTCTCAAAATAAATAAACAAATAAATAATTTTTTTAATTACTGGTTTATTATATAGGATTCAAATGAACAACCAGAAGAAAATGTACATAGGACAAGGCCTGAAAAAGCTTCAAGAGGCTGGGTGCAGTGGCTCATGCCTGTAATCCAAGCACTTTGGGAGGCCGAAGCAAGCAGATCACCTGAGGTCAAGAGTTTGAGACCAGCCTGGCTAACATGGTGAAACCCCATCTCTACTAAAAATACAAAAATTAGCTGGCTGTGGTGGCGCACACCTGTAATCTCAGCTACTCAGGAAGCTGAGGCAGGAGAATCATCTGATGGGAGATGGAGGTTGCAGTGAGCCAAGACTGCACCTCTGCACTCCAGCCTGGGCAATAGCATAAGACTCCATCAAAAAAAAGCTTCAAGGGCAGGTGTTTGTGTTCCTGTGGAGTTGGAGGATGCCACCTTCCAGATACCTGGATACTTTCACCAACCTGGAAGTTCCCAAGATTTTTTTGTGACTAAGTTTCCAGTTTCTATTTGGAAAACTGAATGTATTTTCTGGATTAAACTTCCATGATTAAAAAAAAAAAAAAAAAGAAAACATTATAAATTAAAAAAATAGACTTCCATAATGAACAACGCTCAGGGTTTTAATTTTCGTAGTTAATATCTTTGCTTAACAAAAAGATGTTTTTGTTTTTGTTTTTTGAGATGGGGTCCCTCTGTTGCGCAGGCTAGAGTGCAATGGGTTGTCCTTGGTTCACTGGCGCCTTGACCTCCCCAGCTTAAATGATCCTCTTACCTCAGCCTCCTGAGCAGCTGGGACTACAAGGTCACGCCACCACACATGGCTAATTTTTGTAAAAGGGGTTTTGCCATGTTACCCAGTCTGATTTTGAACTCCTGAGCTTAGGCAGTCTGCCCCCATCTGCCTCCCAAAGTGCTGGGACTATAGGCATGAGCCACCATGACTGGCCAGTGTTTTTTGTTTTCACTCATATCTTTTTTTTAGCTTTAAAAATCATGGCTGGGCATGGTGGCTCATGCCTATAATCCCAGCACTTTGGGAGGCCGATGCGGGCAGATTACCCAGGAGTTCAAGACCAGCCTGGCCAATGTGGTAAAACCCTGTCTCTACTAAAAATACAAAAATTAGACAGGTGTGGTGGCAGTTACCTGTAATCCCAACTACTTGGGAGGCTGAGGCAGGAGAATCACTTGAACCCAGTGGGCAGAGGTTGCAGTGAGCCAAAATCATGCCATTGCACTCCAGCCTGGGCAACAGGAGGGAAACTCCATATGCTCGCTGTAGAACATTCGGAAAATTCAAATGAGTAGAAAAAAGGTCACCCCCGCCCCAATACTTTGTAGAGAAATGCATCGTAACAATTTGGTTTATTTTCTGATGGGCTTTATCTTTCCTTGTGTACAGTTTTACTTTGTTTCCATTGTTGCTAAATAAATAGAATGATGCTTTCTGATTTACAACTTATAGAGCTGATTTCATGTACTTCTAACAAGCCTGTGATGGTTCCAACAAATATGATACTTTGTCCCCTCTGGGAACTGCATGGGTGGGGCACATCACCCTGTCCTGTGTTCTGACACTTTTTAGAATGCTGGTTTCAGAGCACCATGGTCAGCTTTAAGCAGTATCTTTGTGATCGTATAGATCATTTCAGGCTTTCACATTGTCCTAGAACCTAACTCTTTTTTTTTTTTTTAACTCCAGAGCTTCTGAACATGTCCCTGCCCCATGAGACCACAGTGATCTGTTTTGCCTGCTCCCAACCTATGCATTCTTCGAGTCTTGGAACCGATGATTTGTCTGTTCAGGCTCTAAAGGATCAGCTGGACAGGAAGCGAAGTTAGGTAGCTCGGGATGCGTCAAGGTGAACCTGGGAAAACTGTGAGCTGCTGTGCTGACTGGACTGCTTTTCTGAATCAGCTGAAACTTCTTTATGTCCCTAGTTTTAAAAGCTCCTCGGAGGCAACTCAAAATCCAGAATCTTTTCAATTATTATGAAGGGAATTCTGAAGTTCTCATTAAACACACAGATGTCTCGAGCTTTGAAAAGAGCCAGAACGCCAAAGGCGAGAATCCCAGGGTATTGCCCACATGGGTGTGATCCCTTGATAATTGTCTAACAAATTCAGCATGCGTCCCCTGGGCATGACCATCTGCTGGGCACAGTTCCATAACCCTGAGACATCTTGGGATTCCTGTGGTTTAGGAAAGACCTTTAACTACCAGCTGGTAGTTTTCTCAGCATTCTTCAAATAGTCCAGTCTTGTTTATTATTATTTAATTTCATTTTATTGCTGCTGTACTTGGAGAATAGTCTGGTCTTGAGGCCTTTTCACTGTGGTCTGTTCTGGTGTATGGCTCGCACCAGCGTGAAGCAGAAGGATGACTTTGGTCTGTTGGTGGGACAGTCTTGAAAGAAGGAGCCAAATGTGTGGAAGTCTGTGGGAAGAGAGAGCCACCTAGCATGTCCCCACTGAACCAGTCGGCAGAAGGCCTTCCCCAGGAGGCCTCCAACAGATCCCTCAATGCCACAGAAACCCTAGGGGCTTGGGATCCCAGGACCCTCCAGGCGCTCAAGATCTCCCTTGCTGTGGCCCTTTCCATCATCACACTGGCCACAGTCCTCTCCAATGCCTTTGTACTCACCACCATCTTTCTCACCAGGAAGCTCCACACACCTGCCAACTACCTGATTGGCTCCCTGGCCACCACCGACCTCTTGGTTTCCATCTTGGTCATGCCCATCAGCATCGCCTATACCATCACCCACACCTGGAACTTTGGCCAAATCTTGTGTGACATCTGGCTGTCTTCTGACATCACGTGCTGCACGGCCTCCATCCTGCATCTCTGTGTCATTGCTCTGGACAGGTACTGGGCAATCACAGATGCCCTGGAGTACAGTAAACGCCGGACGGCTGGCCACGCGGCCACCATGATCGCCATCGTCTGGGTCATCTCCATCTGCATCTCTATCCCCCCACTCTTCTGGCGGCAGGCCAAGGCCCAGGAGGAGATGTCGGACTGCCTGGTGAACACCTCTCAGATCTCCTACACCATCTACTCCACCTGTGGGGCCTTCTACATTCCCTCGGTGTTGCTCATCATCCTCTATGGACGGATCTACCGGGCTGCCCGGAACCGCATCCTGAATCCACCCTCGCTCTATGGGAAGCGCTTCACCACGGCCCACCTCATCACAGGCTCTGCAGGGTCCTCGCTCTGCTCACTCAACCCCAGCCTCCATGAGGGGCACTCGCACTTGGCCGGCTCCCCTCTCTTTTTCAACCACGTGAAAATCAAGCTTGCTGACAGTGCCCTGGAACGCAAGAGGATTTCCGCTGCTCGAGAAAGGAAAGCCACTAAAACCCTGGGCATCATTCTGGGGGCTTTTATCATCTGCTGGCTGCCCTTCTTCGTGGTGTCTTTGGTCCTCCCCATCTGCCGGGACTCCTGCTGGATCCACCCGGCCCTCTTTGACTTCTTCACCTGGCTAGGCTACTTAAACTCCCTCATCAACCCAATAATCTACACTGTGTTTAATGAAGAGTTTCGGCAAGCTTTTCAGAAAATTGTCCCTTTCCGGAAGCCCTCCTAGTCTTATTCGGTGATGATTCTTGTTATCTTTTGTGTGCTGTAACCTAATCAGGATTGTCTTTTTTTATTTTCTGAGACCTGGGTTAATTCATGATATATTGAGTCTTGGTTCAATCAACAGAATTGTTCTTTGTTCTTTTTCCTGTTGTTTTCTTCTGAGCCACTAAAAACTGGAGAGCTGTTGGTGGGGGTGGGGTGGAGGACTGAAGACTTCACTTAGCATAATATTTTCTTTCTTTTGTTTTTCTTGAGATGGAATCTTGCTTTGTCACCAGGCTGGAGTGCAATGGCGCGATCTCAGCTCACTGCAAGCTCTACCTCCCGGGTTCAAATGATTCTCCTGCCTCAGCCTGCTGAATAGCTGGGACTACAGACATGTGCCACCACACCCAGCTAATTTTTGTATTCTTAGTAGTGACGGGATTTCACCATGTTGGCCAAGCTGGTCTCAATCTCTTGACCTCATGATCCGCCCACCTCAGCCTCCCAAAGTGCTCAGATTACAGGCGTGAGTCACCACGCCTGGCCTATTTTTTTTTTTTTTTTACAGAGTCTCACTCTGTCACCCAGGCTGGAGTACAGTGGTGTCATCTCAGCTCACCACAACCTCCACCTTCAGGGTTCAAGCCATTATCCTGCCTCAGCCTTCCGAGTAGCTGGGACTGCAGGCGCCCGCCACCACGCCCAGCTAATTTTTATATTTTTAGTAAAGATGGGGTTTTACCATGTTGGACAGGCTGATCTCAAACTCCTGACCTCAAATGATCCCCCCTTCCTTGGCCTCCCACAGTTCTGAGATTATAGGCATGAGCCACTGAGCTTGGCCAACATCATATTTTCACAGTTCCTCTTTGTTGGAAGAAATGTGACCTATGTGATTCCCTGTTGATACAGTTCAGGTGACATGTTGTCTGACTATAGAAAAGACCCCAGGCTCAAAGGGAAGGCTTTCTCATCTACCTGAGATCTATATGGAGCTTAAAGGAGAGTGGATAAGATTAATGACCTGAGCTGAAAGAGAATTTGGAGCCAGGATGGGTCTCCATTCTGTGTGGCACCTTGATTGGAAAATAATATACATGCATTTCTTGCACTGAGTCTTTCTTCAATGAACTCTCTCCCAGTTGTCCATGAAAAGAAACTCAGTATTTGCAGTGCCAATGATATAGAGTGGCTTGGAGAGAGATTCAGAGATTAGGGGCAGGGTGGGTAGGATGGCTGGGACCAGACTGACAACCCTGTATCCTTCCTTCTTCCCCAATATCCCTGCAACATCTTCAGGTTTGAAGTTAAAACCCATGATCACCCCATTGAGGTAGATGGATGGGCTTTAGATGCCCCCCAAGCTTTGAGTGGGACACCATTCTGAATTTTTTTTCTCAATTTTTTTTTACGTCTCTTTCTCACTGGAGATCTGAAAATGCATTAGAGATGTTGAGTCTTATCAAATAAAAATCATGAGATGTCATGGCCAGTAAAGTCTTTGGGTAATTTTTCCTCCCTCCCTGGATATAGAAACCATTCAACTCGATTCAACCTCTAGCATTTGTTGGGCACCTACCACATGCCAGGCCCCACGCCCCAGCCTTGGCACTTACTATCTCCTAACAGGATGTGAGAAAGAAAGGATAGTGTGATGATTAAGAGCTCAGAGGCCACACTCAGTGGCTCACGCCTGTGATCCCAGCACTTTGGGAGGCTAGGGTGGGAGGATTGCTTGAGCCCAAACCAGCATGGGAAACATGGCAAAACCCTGTCTCTACCAAAAAATACAAAAATTATACAGACGTGGTGGTGCACACCTGTAGTCCCAGCTGCTTGGGAGGCTGAGGTAGGAGGGATCACTTGAGCTTGGGAGGCTGAGGCTGCAGTAAGCCATGACCATGTCATTGCACTCTGGGCCTGAGTGACAGAGCAAGAGCATATCCCTTAAAAAAAAAAAAAAAAAGAAAGAAAGAAAAGGCTCAGGACCTGATGCCTCAGCTCAAATCCAAGTGCAGCCAATTTCTCCTGGATGAAACTGGGCAAGTTCTCCCCTCTCCTCCCCTCCCGTCCCCTCCCCTCCTTCCCTCCCCTTCCCACCCCTCCCCTTCCCTCCTTCCTTTTCAGACAAAGTCTCACTCTGTTGCCCAGGTTGGAGTACAGTGGCACAATCAGGGTTCACTGCAGTCTTGATCTCCCAGGCTCAGGCTTCTGAGTAGCTGGGACCACAGGCTCGCACTACCGTGAAAATTTTTTAAATTTTCTGTAGAGATGAGGATCTCACTGTGTTGCCTAGGCTGGTCTCAAACTTCTGGGTTCAAGCAATCCTCCCACCTCGGCCCCCCAAAATGCTGGGAATACAGGCATGAGCCACCGCACCTGGCCTAGACAAGTCTCTTGATCTCTCTTTGTCTCATTTTTAACTATAAAATGGGAATAATAATAGATACGTTATTGTATAAGTTACTACAATGCTTGGCACAAGAACTCTTAAACTGGCCTACGCAAGATCAAACAGCAATATAAAACTAACAGCTGCTATTTATTAAGTGCCTATAATGTTCCTTGCATACATTTTCTCATTTACTTGCCATCTTGATTTTAGAGATGAGGTAAAGAAACCTGCTTATGGGCTGGGTGTGGTGGCTCATGCCTGTGATCCCAGCACTTTGGGAGGCTGAAGCAGGAGGACTACTTGAGCTCAGGAGTTTGAGAGCAGCCTAGGCAATATAGGGAGACCTCGTCTCTAATTACAACAAAAATTAGCTGGACATGGTGGAGCACTCCTGTAGTCCCAGCTACTTGGGAGGCTAAGGTGGAAGGACCGCTTGATCATCCCACCAGAGGCTGTGGCTACAGCGAGCCCTGATCATACCACTGCATTCCAGCCTAAGAGACAAAATGAGACCCTGCCTCAGAAAAAAAAAAAAAGAAAAAAACAAAGAAAGAAAGAAAAAGAGGCTGGGCGTGGTGGTACACACCTATAATCCCAGCACTTTGGGAGGTCAAGGTGGGCAAATTACAAGGTCAAGAGATTGAGACCATCCTGGCCAACATGGTGAAACCCTGTCTCTACCAAAAATATAAATTAGCGGAGCACGGTGGTGGGCACCTGTAGTCCCAGCTGCTCAGGAGGCTGAGGCAGGAAAATTACTTGAACCCAGGAGGCGGAGGTTGCAGTGAGCCGAAATTGCACCACTGCACTCTGGCCTGGCCACAGAGCAAGACTCTGTCTCAAAAAAAAAAAAAAAAGGAAAAGAAAAGAAAAGAAAAGAAACTTTCTTATGGTTAGGTCATGTTGTTCCAGCAGAAGAAGATGATGGGGCACTCAAGTGTGGCAGCAAATTTGAAGCCAGTGTGGGCATCCCCCTCACTGGCCGCCCCCTCACCGAAGTAACAGATGACGACCCTGTTGGCCTTGGCCCGCTTGGCTGCATAGGCCGCCCCCACCGCCTGAGGGAGGACTTCAGCGGGCTGCCAAAACCTGAGCCTGTGTGGAATAGGAGCCCAAGAGAGGGGAGGTGTGACAAGGCCTCTTGGGGAAGATGGGGCGGAGCAGAGGAAGCTAAGGAAGGCCACACCAGGTGGAGAAAAGAGCAGTAACAGAGCCTCAGAGACCTGTAATATTCGGTGGGGTCTCTGGGCACAGAAAGAAGAATGAGAGCCAGGAATATGGGATGTCAGGAAGGAAAGGGAAAGGAGGGAGGCCAAGATTGAGGGGATGGTTGGTTATCCAGAGGAGTCTTGTGCTGATTTAAAGCTCACGCTGGACCTCATCCATGCAGCCCTGGACCACCTGCATTAGAATCACCCAGGCAGGGCTGGGCACAGTGGCGCACTTCTGTAATCCCAGCACTTTGGGAGGACAAAGCTGGAGGATCACTTGAGTCCAGGAGTTCGAGACCAGCCTCGGCAACATGGTGAAACTCCATCTATACAAAAAATATAAAAATTAGGCAGGTGTGGTGGCATGTGCCTGTAGTCTCAGCTACTGAGGAGGCTAAGGTGGGAGGATTGCTTGAGCTGGGGAGGTTGAGACTGCAGTGAGCTATGATCATGTCACTATACTTCAGCCTAGGTGACAGGGCCAGATCCTGTCTCCAAAAAAAAAAGAAGACCAGGCGCAGTGGCTCACACCTGTAATCCCAGCACTTTGGGAGGCCAAGGCAGGCAGATTACAAGGTCAAGATAGAAGCTATCCTGGCCAACACAGTGAAACCCCGTCTCTACTAAAAATAAAAAAATTAGCTGGGCGTGGTGGCATGCGCATGTAGTTCCAGCTACTTGGGAGGCTGAGGCAGGAGAATTGCTTGAACCTCAAGGCAGAGGTTGCAGTGAGCTGAGATCGTGCCACTGCACTCCAGCCTGACATCAGAGTGAGACTCTGCCTCAAAAAAAAAAAAAAAAAAAAATCAAAGATAAACTTGTTTCTCATGACCATGGGGAACCCTGTGTTTGGAGCCTTTCTCCTCCTCCTGCCCATCCCTGTGATGCCCCTAATTTCTTCACGCTTAGTCACAGACACACACACAGCGTGATAGGGACGATGCTGAGAGAGGGTAGGGCGGATTTCTGTCTAGCACAGGACTCTGCTAATTTCTGGTGCATGTAAGTGGGCAGACACTTTCGGCTGCCCACCCTGCAGCCAATCCTGTTCCCTGGTCACAGGACCCTAGGTCCATGTTTTTGTTTTTGGTTTTTTTTTTTTGAGGTGAGGTCTCACTATGCTGCCCAGGCTGGAGTACAGTGGCTATTCAAAGGTGTGATCATGGCACACTACAGCCTGGAACTCCTGGTCTCAGGCGATCCTCCTGCCCCTGCCTCCCAAGTAGCTGAGACTACAGGCTTCAGGTCACCTTAAATGGCAATGGGGCCCAGCCTGTAAGAGGTGAATGCTGAAGTTTGACTAAATACTTGGGCACCATGGCCCACCTCTGCTTTCTCGGCCAGGCTCTTTAGGGTGCGTGTCACTGTCCCATGATCGCTCATCAGACTAGGAGCACTGCAGGCTATTTCATTGATCTTTGTACTCTTAGTATCTGGCACTCAGCCAGTGCTCAATGAATGATAACAGCTAGCGTCTATTGAGCTTGTACTGTGTCCCTAGGTACTGCCCTCAGCATTTTATGAGCATTAGCTCATTTAACATGCATGAA